ACAGTTTGGGGGTGACACAGCCACAGTTTGGGGGTGACACTGTCACAGCCTGAGGGCGACACAGCCCGAATTTGGGGGTCCCATGGTGACATCACCCCAGTTCGGGGGTCCCAATGTCACCGTCACAGCCTGGGGACGACAACGCCACCATTTGGGGGTCCCCAAGTGACACAGCCCGAGTCTGGGGGTGACACAGCCCAAATCTGGGGGTCCCACAGTGACACAGCCACAGTTTGGGGGTCCCAATGTCACCATCACAGCCTGAAGGTGACACAGCCAAGGTTTGGGGGTGACACAGCCCGAGTTTGGAGGTGACACTGTCACAATTTGGAGGTCCCAGAGTGACACTGTCACGCTTTGGGGGTGCCAATGTCACCAGCACAGCCTGAAGGTGACACTGCCAGAGTCTGGGGGTCCCACGATGACACAGCCACAATTTGGGGGTCCCAATGTCACCGTCACAGCCTGAAGGTGACACAGCCTGAGTTTGGGGGTGACACAGTCCGAGTTTGGGGGTCCCACAGTGACACTGGAACAGCCTAGAGGTGACACTGCCACAACTTGGGAGTCCCAGAGCGTCACTGCCACAACCTGAGGGTGACAGTGCCACAATTTGGAGGTGTCAATGTGACAAAACCACACTTCGGGGGTCCCAATGTCCCCGTCATAACCTGGGGGTGACACTGCCACGATCTGGGTACCCCTCACAGTGTCACAGCCACACTTTGGGGGTCCCCATGTCCCTGTCACAGTCTGGGGGTGACACAGGCCCAGCACAGGCACCCCACAGTGACACTGCCACGCTTTGGGGACCCCCATAGTGACACTGCCACACTTTGGGGGTCCCCAATATCTCTGTCACAACCTGGGGGTGACACTGCCACAATCTGGGGGTCCCCACAGTGACACTGCCACACTTTGGGACCCCCAGAGTGGCACAACCACGCTCCTGGGGTCCCCATGTCCCTGTCACAGTCTGGGGGTGACACAGGCCCAGCCCAGGCCCCCCACAGTGACACTGCCACGCTTTGGGGACCCCCACAGGGACACAGCCACGCTTTGGGGGTCCCAATGTCCCTGTCACAGTCTGGGGGTGACACAGGCCCAGCACAGGCACCCCACAGTGACACTGCCACACTGTGGGGATCCCACAGTGACACAGCCACAATTTGGGGACCCCCATATCCCTATCACAGCCTGAGGGTGACACTGCCACAATCTGGGGACCCCCACAATGACACAGCCACACTTTGGGGGTCCCAATGTCCCTGTCACAGTCTGGGGGTGACAGAGGACCAGCACAGACACCCCACAGTGACACTGCCACACTTTGGGACCCCCAGTGACACTGCCACAATCTGGGGGTCCCAATGTCCCTGTCACAGCCTGGAGGTGACACAGGCCCAGCACAGGGACCCCACAGCGACACTGCCACACTTTGGGGACCCCCACAGTGACACAGCCACGCTTTGGGGGTCCTCATGTCCCTGTCACAGTCTGGGGGTGACACAGGCCCAGCACAGGGACCCCACAGTGACACTGCCACGCTTTGGGGGTCACCACATCCGTGTCACAACCTGAGTGACACAACCACAACCGGGTGACCCCCACAGTGACACAGCCACGCTCTGAGGGTCCCACACCGCCACCAGGCCGCACCTTCTCCCCTCACACCTCCATTTCCCCCCCCAAAATAAAAATCCTCTTTACCCCCTGCCACCACCACGCGTGTCCCCGCTGTCCCCACGGCGCCAGCACCTACTTGCTCTGGGGATTCACATTCTGCAACATCCCGGCGGCTGCGTGAGCGGCCCGCGGGCCTGGCCGGCCTTCGTCTCCTCCTCCTCCTCCTCCCGCCGTCTCCTCCGACGAGCCCCCCACTTTGCCCGGCCAAAGCTTCGCCGCTGCCGGCCCGGTGGGGGCCCCTCCACCGTCAGCGCATCCCCGGTTCTCGGGGAGGGGGGTCTTGCCGGGAGCCCCCTCCCCTTTCCGTGCTCCTCAAGCGGCGCCGGGACCCCGGCTGGGCCTCACATCCACGGGGCGCGGCGAAAATGGCGGCGCGCTCTGAGGGGGATGGAGGTTGGGGAGGGGGGGGGAAAAAGGCGGCGGGAACACGGAAAAGCCGCGGAGATGGAGGGAGAGCGGAGAAGGAGGAGAGCGGGGGGGTCCTTCCTTCAGAGCCTCACCGGACCCGCCGAACGCGGCGCGATCCGCTCGATACAACCCTCGCCGAGTCGCTGCGAGCCGGCGGCGGCCGCGGGCGGGCGGAGCGAGGCGAGGAGCCGCGGTCGGAGCGGCGGATGACGGCGGATATCGGCGGGAGCTCAGCGGCCGCGCTCCATCTTGGCTCGCTGAGGGAAGCGGGGG